TGCCATTTGGTTTTTTAATCAGATTGCGATAAAATGTCTTCGCATCTATTTCAAACAACCGCATCTGTACACGTAAATGTACTCTACGTTTGTAACTCTAATGCTTTGAGCCTATGTTTTGATTTTGTCTTTTAGCTTCTCAGCTACCAGTAGCCTTGTGACATTCTAAATTTGGTATTGTTTGTTCAACAGTGAGTAGTTTTCGTGGAAATGCAGATGTGTGTGTGTTATTTAGAAGATGCCTTTGCTAAGAGTGATATTTCTCGCGAAGTGTCAGTTATCCTTTTCATAATTCTTTTCGCACATGTGGGTACGGAGCTTTTTACCCTTTTTGGCTGTCGGCCGTCGGTGTTCTTGGTTGGACCCAAAGTTATCTGAGATACCAGGGATTCAGTTGCATCCCCGATGTGATTTATCTCAGTAATATCTAGACCCCTACCTATTATTTGAACCTTCTCATTTCAGACATATCTCTATCTCTCTCTCTCTCTCTCTCTCTCTCTCTCTCTCTCTCTCTCTCTCTCTCTGTTCACGAGTTTCGAATGGATGTAAAAGAACCCACTATTTATCGCATCGAAGGATTTCGCATTGTGTGATTCATAGCCAGATGAATTTTCACCACTGACGCGTGTTTCATTGGGAAGAAATGGAAGATGAGCATCTTTTTCAGTAATATTAGATGACTCGACATATATGTGGATAGTTCGATCGAAAGACATACTCTGTATTTCCCTGAATGCCAACTAGTTGTTCTGCTGCGAATTTTCCACTGCTGAGTATGTATGTACTGGCAAGCTTCTTTGAAACTAGGGTATTCTCCAAAAACATAGAGTTCTGTTCTATCCATATCTTATACACTTCTATTTCTGAGACACCGTGTTCGTTTTTAATGAATCGCTCGCATAGAAAAAGCACATCAAATTCTTCAATTCATTCCGTGTCTTTTCTGACGATAGCTTCGAGCTTCTGCCGGCTCTGGGTCCTGAAACTAACATCCTTGGAATGGCCAGATGTCCACAAGGTGACTTTAGCTCGATTTCTGAGTAGGTTTGCGGTCATTGGCAGAACAAGGTACGTTAAGATTCATTACTTTTCTTGATCTATCCATTTTTCTCATTGATTATAAGGGCAGTATCGCAGGAAGCAAGTTCCAGTCCACAGATCATACTTAACCCATGGGTTATTTCCTGTCATCCGACCCACAGTGGCCTCGGGACATCCCCACAGGGTCTAACAAGGAGTTCTTCCGATCGCCAGTCAACATTTCTAAGCCTAAGTCATTTCTAACTCTAAAACTTCCTACGAAATTTTAACTGACTGCTAAAGGCAGCCTCCTTCGATTCCTGGTGTACCAACCCAGTTTCCCTCCCCTACTCTCCTTCGGACGAAAACAGGAAACCCAAAGATTCATAACCCTTCGCTCTCCACTTACTTCTCGCTGTTGATGCAACGGTTCCTAACATGGAGACAGACACTGCAGCCGCAGCCTGCGGATCAGATATTGTGGTTGTATTCGAGCGCCTCTTCCGCCATCTTCATCAATCCTCCTCTCTACTTTGAAGATGTCGTTGAGGCTCTTCTCTGGAATACATTTTCGTTTACCTTTCACCTTCAACCTATCCAGCAAGGGAGGCCCTACCACTAGCTAGGCTGCCGCCGACATAGCTCTCAGGCATGAACAGGGTACTTTAGCTCCACCACCAACTACATGGGCGTGTATTATTATTATTATTATTATTATTATTATTATTATTATTTTGTAATTACTTCTTATATTACAGCTCTCCCGACTATCGTTGCAAATCATGCACCGGCAGATACGGTTTACAGCAAGTGGGTTCTTTCCCATTGATTTCACCTTATTATACTCAGTAAGTGACAAAAATTATACTGTATGACAGTGAGTTACGGAACTACTGTGTCCCTGTTGGGTAGTTAATGGAGATTCTTCTCGCGAAACATTAATCACCTGCTAAAACCTATACACTATATGAATTTGGGAACTCTGAGTATTCTTAAAACTTCTTTCCTTTTTGTCAGCCTTTTGAGATTTTATAATATCAACAATAAAAAAGGTGGTTGAACGAAATGATGTTGATTTATATTACATTTTGCTTATTGTTTTACACGCGCTAACAAGACTCACTAAGACATATTTTAAATACATCATATTTAAAATACTCCTAAAAGAGTATATATATAGTGACACTTTGCATTCTGTGGCAGTTTGCATTCTCTTTTATAATTATTATAAGACCGTGTGATTTTCTTTCAGATGGTGGTAGCTGTGACGACATTTCTCGTAATTCTAGTACAATTCCAGAGTCCAAACCAAAGCGAATCAACTTTCAACACTCAAGTTGATAACTAATATCTCGTAAAATCAGACTGTAGAGAATTAGATTTTCGAATTATTTCGCACAAAAGTGTTTGTTCAATATTTATCTTTTCAAAACTAAAAAATCTAATATTTTTAGACATTAACTTCTTACTACCTGCCATATCGTAACATACATATTTACATTAAATATTATGTGCATTTTCAGATAAAATATTAATTTGCTCCGAAGTATTTTTTGCTGCATTCTCCATCAACCAAGTACTATAAACCATTTCTCTCGGAAACAAAAATGTAATAGAAATGTATCGACTATGTATATCCCTCTTCTCCACAAAAAGTATGCAAAAAAATGTAGTTCAACTTAGAACGAATTTTGAATTCAAATCACTTCTGCCCTGAGCATTCGCATTTTCTTCCTGGATACCTACTGAGAGTTCTGTTTAAAAAGAGCTGTAAAGAGGTCCACACATCACAAGAGATTAGCAGACGACAAGTGGGAAGCTTTCGCCAACTAATCCGAAGATTGTTTAGTTGCGGCCGGCGGCGCCTGATCAGCGCCGGGTTCACGGCATTCGGTCCCCCCACCCTTCCCTCGCCATCCCTAGGCGAGGGCTGGGCGGTGACCGAGCCAAGAGCCTACACACGAGACGGGACTCGTTGGTTAGGAAAAATGTAATTCGTGACATCATTAGCCAGAAGTTCACGTAACCTCCGCCGAAACGTCACAATCCCTAACACCTGCGATTTTCAAAAGTGTCTTTAGCAACCTATTAATATTGTAACGTTTCTCGGTGGTAAATTAAAACACACACAGGTATTATTTAACAAAAACGTGAATTTGTAAACAATGCTACACTAAAACTACTTGATCTATTTGCAGATATATTATACAGTTCTTGTGTTCTTCACTTGATTATTTTTCTAACCCACGACTCCGTTCTATTGATTATTTATTTACACTGTTCACTTCTTCTACACTACCGCACAGTCCGATGTACTATCCACGGTCCACTGCGCTTACCACAATTCACTGCGCAGGCCACAATTCCCTGTGCAGACCACACTTGACGGCGCAGACTAGGGTCCACTGCACTGCTGTTTACCGCGATGCACACTTCACAGCTCAGGTTCCACGGCAGACTTCAGATTGCTGACTGCTGTTCACCCACTGTACCACTGTTCACCGCAATGCACACTTCACATCTCAGTTTCCACATCAGACTATTACATTCTCACACTGACGGACTGACTGTTTACTCACTGATTACATACACTGACTGACTCCCGGATGCTTACTTCCGACAACATTCTGAGGCCGCCGGCAGCGGCGAATTTATACATGGCCGGCGCTCGTCTCGACAGAACCTTTGCATTTAATCCACATTTCTACGCGACTCGCGAATAGCCCAGAACCGTCCAGTTTGGGGGAAAGGAGGGGCGCCGGCAGATGACGCAATAAGCGCAGCGAATCCTCGCCGGTGATGCAATATTCGTTAAAATATATTCTAATTGGCCTCGTTACGACTAGTGAAACAACAAAATCAATTTTTTAAAAAATATTAGGAGTTTCGTGTACATTAGCAAGTGGGTAGTATTGTACGGTTGAAGAAATTAACAAAAATACAGAAATTTTAATACCACTTATTTATTTTACGTTATTTTCATTACAAAGTATTTTTTATTATTACAATCCTAATATAATACATTAGAGCTTTATAGCATTAAAAAAACTGAATATAATTGAAATCCTGTCTAAAAACAAAACAACTACAATTACAATTATTGTAATTTTAATTACAATATCAAGCACCAAAATCTGATATGCAATGAGATATTTCAATATGTGATGGGAGAATCTTTTTTGAAATAAAAGTTGGTACCGTTTAACAGAAGTTACTTCCTGCGAAAAGAATATCTCAACAAATTTTTCAATGATGTCCTTAGTCCAAAATAAAATGTGCAGCAGTAGATAATCTGTTTTTACTGTGATCATACTCCTTTAGATGACAAAAATATTATGTCGATGCAAAATACAACTTTTTGTAAGCAAAATCAGCATATTTAAAAAAAGTTAAAAGCATATTTTACATTTTTTGGCGGGTACGTTTTAAGGCACAAACTTGCATAAACTTCCCAGCTCTACTAAAAAGTTATAAAAAGCGTCAAAACTAAAAAAAATTGACGAATGCAGTGAGATATTCATGGGGAAAGATCAAAATGTATTCTGATAGGGAAAGAGCACAAAAGGTACCACACGCTACAGTTTAATTTCTATTTAGGGTCGAATTATTATCATTATTATAAAATAAATTTGCAAATACCTACAAACAATATTGTCTCGGAACTTATACAACTTGAAGAATTTCACGTGAATATGGAGAAAACAAAACTGTAAGTGCTAGTGAATGAATAAACGTAATGTTCGACTTCGCTCTGTTACGTTCTTACATAAGTGTGCAAATACCGCTTTTCAAATTAATGAGACCCACAACTTATGTTTATTAAACTTAACTAACACCTTATTCACATAAACATACAAAACAGTTGGATTTTAATGTTGTCACGAAGATGGTAAAGAATCTACCATATGAAATGAGTTATTTTCTGCGGAAGGGGTGGCACAACATGGTTTTGGGGTATCCGCTCCAGAGGGAGCGATCTAGGGGGCGGTGTGGTCCCCGGAGGACTGAGGCACGGGCGTCTCGGCGTCGGGCGTTCGCGGCGGGCCCGGCAGCTGCTGAGCGTGGGCGCGACGCCGCAGCAGGCGCGGCCCGCCCAGGGCCATGAAGGCCGCGCCGGCCGGCGCCGTCAGCAGGATGCTCAGCACGTTCACGTTGAGGAGGACGCGTCCGCGCGCCACGGCCAGCGGGGAGGGCGGCTGCAGGGCGCGCGCTGCGTCCAGGGCTACGGGGCCCAGCGCCGCCTGCGCACAGAGAAACAGAAGTGGAGGGACAAGGAAGGGGAGAAGGAGTCGGCGAACAGGGAGAGATAGGAAGATGCATAATTCTCTCTCAATATATATATATATATATATATATATATATATATATATATATATATTGAAACGCGGAGCGTTTCTGTAAATACATTAAAATGCGGTACATTTTTGGTCAAATACATACATCTTGATTAGCGTGGTTACAGCGGCGAGCAATGGCTAACACCACGCGCGAGAAGGTGGCGAGACCGATGGTTAGTGTGGAGAAAAGCTTGAAGAAGAGCGGAGAGGTTTTGACGCGCTCAGTGAGTAGGAAGCAAATCTAAGTTAAATTACGGAGTAAACAGTATTTAGGAGTGAATGAAGTGCGATAGTGCCCGGTAGGCAATAGTGCGAACTTGAGGAAATGCAATAAGAGCTGGAAACTGTGGTAATATAGTTAAACTAACAGACAGCGTGACCGGTGATGTAATAGTGGCCACGTGCATACGTGACAGTGTAATAGTGAATAAAGTTGAACTGAGAAGTTGTGAAGCCAGGGGGAGCTGGGATAACGAACAAAAGGCTGGACGGACAGTGAAAGTGGGTATCACACACCCGATCTGAACTACCCTCACCACGACCGGGGCTGGAGCCAAGGTTCCATAGTGTAACCGTTGCAAAGAGCTGGGGAGGCGCGGGCCTCCGAGCGAAGGTCGACTACCCGACGGGCTCTGAGGCGAGCCGAAGGCCGCCGATCGCCACCACCGGCGGAACATCCAAGAAGGACGACCGGATCGGGACTTAAGGTATCGCGTAAATTTGAGCTTACAGGTATGCTTTGGTACCAAAACGAGAAATCACTTGATTGCAAATGTTATACTAATTGAGTTATCTTAGTAATAAATTGTTTATTTGTTTGAAAATGATAGTTGAGTTTTTCTTTCAATGCTTTTTCCAAACCTTAGAGGGCCATTCAGGAGCAAAGACACCTGTCCTTCAAAAATAGTGAACATATATATATATATATATATATATATATATAATATAATTATTATATATATATATATATATATATATATATATATATATATAATAATATATATTATATGGGTTATTGTGGGTTATACAATTGTTTATGTGGGTTAGTGATAAGCTAAATTTGTTTCCCTGTAAACAGAGTTTTATTCCTTTTTATGAACAATCATTTACAAAGTATAATCACGATGTGGCACTGAAGCTATTGCGTTAAACTCTATGGGGTAGTGGTATCGATGCGTGAGAATTTAGCAAAGGCAAGTACGGCTGTTTCCTTACATTGTTATTTTCCAAATCCATGATGGCAATTTGAAAACGCGTTTTTTTAATACACTGACAAATGGGAAATTGGCCGATAATTTTGAATTTCATTAATGCTGCCATTTTTGAAGAGCGGCTTAATCTTAGCTGTTTTGAAAGTAACTGAAAAAGTTCCAGTGCATAAGGTTGCATTTAATATTGAGGTAACGGGTGCACAAGTCTTTAACAAACCAGAAATTCATCCTAACCGGTCGAATATTTATTTTTTAGTTTACCGTTAGGAACGTTTTGATATTTTAATTTGCCTGCGTTGTAAATAAATTATCGGTACGTTGTAAATGTTTTATTTCGTGTTTGTCTACATTCTATTCAGTGGTGCAAACTGCATTCCGATATCTTTACTGTTTCGTGAGGAAGTCGATTGAAAAGAAATTATTTTGAAAAATGCATTTTGACGGAATGTGGTACATAGCGGAATATTACCATAATAATTAAAAAATTGTTTAAAAAATTGTTAATATCATTAATACAATTTTTAATTAATGTTTATTTAATTAAAATTTTCTTTTAATTAATTGAATTTTTATCATGATTATCTGTGGAAAATAACTAGAGAACATTTCATGTGAAATATAATTGCAAATATATAATTAGCATTATTTGCCATACTTTTTCAAAAGTTAACTTTTCTATTAAAAGTTAAAGTTTTCTATTAAGCTAGTAAAGAGATTGCCGCTATCGCTTACCAGTAATATTAATTGAAAAATTTTAATAATTGATATTGTTAATAAATAATGCAAATAATATAAACAGAATTTTTTATTTTTGAAATCTTCACCCAAGTTAAATATTATTTTCAATGTTTTTATACAACCACCCACTAAAAGAATAATAGTTTTAAAATCTTAAAGTGTAACGAATCAATGTAGTTTTCTTAAAACGAGCCATCAAGGCAAAGAAAGTAACATAAACGTCCTTGAAAAACCTTTAAAGAAAGTTTGTTGTTAAAAATTATCAATGTCGGTATGATTTTGCAATCAAAATTTTTAAACGAACCTCAGTAGTCCGTGAATCTTTACTAGTGATATTGAAGTAAAACACCGTTTTCATCACAGAAAACTCATTGCCCTTTTTTTCTAAAAGTTAAGTTGTGAAATAATTTTAGCCATTGTAAGGTATACACGGTAAGAATATTTTTTCCAAGAAGACGAATTCCAGCACATTAATGCGCACCTAATCTCATAATACATTTGGTTTCAGATCAACACGCAAAACACTAGTGTTTCAATGAACTCACAAGTCAAAAATTTCAAACATTCGTCTGCTTTCGTTTTTATTTACTCAAATTGCGAGTTCATAACTTCTTAAATTATCTAAAAAAATTGCAATTTGCTCAAGTGCCTTGAGTCTCTTGACGATTGCTAAGTGCAATATTGTTGGCAAAACTATCTGAAAAGATGTGATGGATGTATAGATTGCCTTTAAATCAGATGATGATTATGATTAGGGTTTAAGGACGCTTCAAAGTCCAAGGTTATTGAACACCATGTCAATTGGTATTAAGAACATAAATTCACAGCATCAGTCAGCAATTAAAATATTTTTAATAATTTTAAGATAAAATATGTAGAATATAGTAAAGTCTGGTTAATTGTAAAATAAAACAACTGACAAAACAGTGTTATTTGAACAATGAAAAATAGGTTTATAAAAGGTAAGTTAAAAATTAACCTCCTCTCTCACACTCGATTAAAATATTTTCTTCAAGAAAGTTAAAAAGTTGGAATAGAGGATTCATTGCAACTCAGGATCTCCTCCAGAGTGTCGGCAAGGTGAGGCCTTCTCCGAATATCTCCTGAATTATTCCAGTGCACGAGATCATGCTATACAGTAAGTCCTGTTCTTCATTTATCGTAAATGGGAGAAGAGGGGTGGTCACTCCGCGAAAGCAGGGTCCGATCCGAAGGCGAGTGAGAATTACCTCCTCGTGCCTTGAGCCACGAGATGAAGATTAGGTTTATATATTCTTGATCCTCGTGAGTTTGAAATAAACAGTTCTGCTACTCTTTTTGCCATGCACCCTGAATGCAACGTTGAATAGAAAGCTTGGTGACAAACGCAAGTACTACCATAGGGATGTCTATCTCGGGCTTCCTAGTAGCCAACTTTGCTAACAGATCAGCTGTCTCTTTTTCAATTACTCCCAAGCTACGAGGGACACAGAAAAACAAATTACGATAATAGAGATATAAACAATTTCTTCAATATATTTGATATTATGTATTGAAGAAATCTGTAGGTGTGATATAGTAGTGGGAAGATGTCGAGAAAATTTTCAATGTTTTCAATGTTTTAAATCCCGAAGCTTTTATGTAAAATTGGACGAAAAATTTCGAAAAACGTAAATGCCATCATGCCGATCATGTTAATGGAAATGCAGAAAATCTATGAGTATATGAAAGAATCAGTCATTTCAACAATAAAGCTACTAACATTTCTTTTAAAAAATGTTGCATCTATATAGACACAACGCGTCTCCTACCTCATTAAGGAGCATTGAGCGCACCATGGATGGAGTCCTCTGTTAATGTCAGTTGGCGTAATCCTCTGTTATTAAGCACGGAACTGTGGAAAGTGATTGCACTTACTGCAATCACTTTCATTAATCGTCCGCCATGTTATATAGCGTTTCTTTATGTATATTGGCGTTTATACTATAATACATGTGTATATAGCACTATATACACCCAATAACACTGCAACTCCATTCTGAGGGACAGGTTATTGGCTTCGATGTTCTACGAGATTGGCAACTTTGAAACGCATTTTTGGAGATGTTGACATAATGAGGTGTTTGAAACTAGTAAAAACGAGAAAGAACAAATTGTCAGACACAATTTCACAATTGTAATTTTGAACTTGCAATTATCATTGCACTAAGCTTGAAGAGGTCTCTGTAAAGAGGTAAAGCAAAAGCTTGCTTGTAATCTGCTCTGTTGTCTGTGAACAGTGAATTTATTTATTTATACGTACGAATGTACGGAAAATACACGTAGTTTAATATACATATTATACAGAGAAAGGTATGTAATGCTGTGGTAATTTTATTTTGAAATTTCAACGACAATGCATTTCATGGGTTTTCTGATACCGAAAAAGAGTTTTTTCGAACCGTCCCTCTCCGCCGGTCCATAAATAACAGTAGCCTCTAAACCATTTGTGGGGTCCGTAGGATTTTGCCAAAAAGAACAGTTCTTGATCGATCTCACCCCTTCCGAGGTCTTGCTATTTTTAAAAGAATTCTTTAAATATTCGGCGTACTTCTATTTAAAACCTTCGGGACATTTTCAAATATTCTCAAAAATGATTCTAATTTTTTTCTTTACAATTCTTGTAAGAATAGAGTAAAATACACTGATGAAGATGGAAGGAGAAGATTTTCACTATCATCTCTGAATTTTCGAAAATTACCAAAGATTCAATTCTTTCAGCGTCTTCCTACAGCTACTAATTTAAAAATAGTGTTATTTTAGATGAAACTAGTTCTCGCCAAAGATTACTTTAATAAATATAATGTAATATTTTTGAAAATATTAGTAGTTTTTGTCCAATTTTTTCAAAAATTCGAGAAATTTTTTTTTTTTAAATTTCTCTCAAGAAGAGTCAATTGTGTAGCTTAATCATAGTGCGAAATTTCCACACAAACC